TTTTTCTTTTTTCTTATGTGGTGCTGAGGAATCGAACCCAGGGCCTCATGCATGCAAGGCAAGCGCTCTACCACTGAGCCATCTTCCCAGCCCCCAAATGTGATTTTTTTTTTTAAATATTTTTTTTTTGTTGTTGTTGTTGGTCGTAGGGCCTGAACTCTGGGCCTGGGGGCTGTCCCTCAGATCTTCAACTGTAGACTAGCGCTTTACCATTTGAGCTTCAGCCTCTCTTCCAGCTTTCTCTACTTATGTGGTGCTGAGGAATCGAACCGAGAGCCTCATGCATGCAAGGCAAGCACTCTACCACTGAGCCACCTTCCCAGCCCCATCCAAATGTGATTTTTTAAAATTTTTTAATATTTATTTATTTATTTATTGGGTCTGGTCGTGGGGTCTGAACTCTGGGCCTGGGCACTCACCCTCAGCTCTTCAGCTCAAGGCTAGCACTCTACCACTTGAGCCACAGCGCTACTTCTGGCTTTTTTCTTTTTTGCTTATGTGGTGCTGAGGAATCGAACCCAGGGCCTCATGCATGTAAGGCAAGCGCTCTACCACTGAGCCACCTTCCCAGCCCCCAAATGTGATTTTTTTTAAAAGCAGGAATAAAAATTTTAGATAGCTGGTCACTGATGTTCCACGCTTGTGATCTTAGCTACTCAGGAGGCCGAGATCTGAGGATCAAGGTTCAAGGCCAACCATGGCAGAAAAGTTCAAGAGACTTATCTGCAATTAATCAGCAAAAAAACCAGAAATGGAGCTTTAAGTGGTATAGCACCATCTTTGAGCATAAACCTAAGGGACAATGTCCAGGCTCTGATTTCAAGTTCCAATATCAATACACACACACACACACACACACACACACACACACACACACACGAGTTGACTCAAGGGTTAATGGTACGATCATGAAATGATTATGAATAATACCTGTCATCAGGAGGGTAGTCAAAAGTAGATTAAATTTAAGCAGGGTTCTCAAGATGATCTCTTTCTAGATTTCACATGAATGTACCAAGCTCTGTTCTAAATGCTTCCAATTTTCAATATAGTTTATCTCTATGACAACCTTATGAGGAAACAATCCTCTCTATAAGTGTGTGATGGGGTTTGAACCCTAGCGCTGGGATTTGAACCCTAAAGACCAGCTGTAGAGTCCATAATCCAAACCACAAGCTATTCTGGGTTCTAGTAGCTCACCATTCCCAGCTCTCCTGTACCTGTCCTGTCTCCTTAATCTTCCAGACTTTACTGCTTTCAAACTTGGTATCCAGTCATTCTGCAACCTGCAGTAGTGCCTACTGCTTCCTGATCAGTCCTATCTGACAATCCAAGGGTAGTCAGCTGACAGTCCATTTTGAAATTCTCTCTGTGATCTGGTTGCAGTCCTTCTCGGTGAGATTTTTGGCTTTCACGATAGCCTGCATCTACATTTCCCTTTGTAGAATTCTTTTTTACTTTGTGCCAATATTGGGGTTTGAACACAGGGCCTTAACTTTCCTACTCAAGAATGGCACTCTACCATTTGAGCCACAGGTTCACTTTTGGCTTTTTGCTGGTTTAATGGGAGATAAGAATCTCACAGACCTCCTGCCTGCACTAGCTTTGAAACAATCTTCAGATCTCAGCCTCCTGACTAGCTAGGATTACAGATATGAGCCATTAGTACCTGGCTAGGATTTTATGTTAGATCACTCTGAAGATTAAAATAACCTTGCGCAGCTACTAGAGCCACACTAAAATGCTTTTGTGCAAAGACAGCAAAAACAGGACCTCTATATTGATAGAAACATGAACAGTTTTAAAACTGCTCTAGGCCTCCTGCCTTCCTGACAAGCTTTCAAAAGTAACTTTACATTGTTTCCATTCATGTGGCAAAACTACACTACATTAATATTTTTATATTGGACTATTAAATTTTCACGAGATAGAACTGCACTGTGGTGAAAATCATTGTTGGATTGTTATATTTTGTACCCTTGCCAGTAATACCATGCCCCATACTGTTATATTTTATTGCATTGTTGGATAGAGACAATGTTAAATTGTTCTAAATCAAAAAATCTCTCTTTTATTAGCCTGTGAGCTATTGTTACAACCAGACAACCTGGCCTGTAAACCCTGTAAGTAGAGCTGTTCTTATCTATGTTGTCCCTGGGATGGTGTCCTGCCTGAGCTTCCTCTGGGCTGCCTCTGAGTCCTTCTAGATACTGACTCTGAGTCTTCCTCTCTCCTAGTCTGGAAGCCTCGGAACCTGAACATCACCCAGCATGGTTCAGATATGCAGGTGTCCTTCGACCCTGCTCCACACAGCTTTGGCTTTCATTTCTTCTACCTTCATTACAAGCTCAAGCATGAAGGACCTTTCAGGAGAAAGACTTGTAAGCAGGTGAGCAGCCATGTGGATGTCAAGAGCCCAGTGTGTTTCAGAGTGATTCCTCGGCCCTGGAATCCACATAGCACAATGTGAACTGTTGGCTCTGATGGTCAGTAGATATTGAACAATGGTTATTGCTAGATACGTCTCTTTTATTGTTGTCCTATTGTTCCTTCCTCCCTGGTTATTTACTTCTCAGCTGTTTACTAATGGATCAAATGAATTCATATTTATTTCTTGTGGGTTTTTTTGGGGGGATTATTAGTTTTTTTTTTGGCAGTCGTGGGCCTGAACTCTGGGCCTGGGAGCCATCCCTCAGCTCTTCAGCTCAAGGCTAGCATTCTATCACTTGAGCCACAGGGTCACTTCCAGCTTTTTCTGCTTATGTGGTGCTGAGGAATGGAACCCAGGGCCTCACGCGTGTGACGCAAGCACTCTACCACTGAGCCACCTTCCCAGCTCTTGTTAGGTGTTTTGTTTGATATTGTGCTTTGAACTCAGGGCCTTTCACTTGGCAAATGCTCTACCACTTAAGCCACTTGTCCAGCCCTATTTGTTGTTGTCTTGTTCTATGTGGTAAACATTCATCAGATCTCAACGTGAGGCAGATAATTAGGCTTTCTTTTCTCTAAATCCTTACCACTGCATGAAACAAAGACTACTGTCATACTCTCACCCCCTGCTATCTTTACCATTGGGAAACCAAGGAAGTCACTTGACTTGCTCAAGGTCACACAGAAACACCACTAACCAAACCACAAGCAATTTAAATACTGTACCATTGACTTTATCATAGGTGAAGGTTAAATAGAAACTCAGCCATCAACATCTGAAACTAAAGCTGATCAGAGGAGTAGGAATGTTTCATGGCAGTACAAAGGATGATCAGATCACTCCGTGCAAGTACCGAGAGATTTTTTTGCTTTTGCTTTTTGTTGTTGTTTTTCCAATTTACTCTATTGTTTTACAGGTGATATATGGCGGGGTTACCTTTACATACATCAGAAAATAAGTACATCTCCTATTGCGTAGTGTCATCTGTTCCCTCATTCACTCCCATTCCCTCTCTCCTATCTCCATCCATGAGTTGCATAGTTCACTTTCATCAGTGTCCAGTGCAGCCAGTGCACTCCACTGCTACACATTTTCACCCTTTTCCCTTGGATTCTATACCCTTCCCCCATCGTCCCTCAGATGTAGATGTAGATGGAATACATCCTATACAAGGTAAAGAATACAGAGTCAACAAAGAAAGAAAAAACAAATTAAGAAAAAAATCATTTGTTTCCATATCTTTGGAGTTTGTTTCAGTATATATATTATTTTATATAAATATAAGGGGCGCTTGGTTATTGCACCTTTGTGATTCTCTCCTCAGATTCTTTTTTTGTGATTCTCTTTTGGTCTCACTATATGTGGGTATCTAGAATTCTCTGTATTTTGTCATTGTAGATACAATTACTGTATATCAGGGAGATCATGCCCTGTTTGTCTCTCTCATCCTGGCTTACCTCACTTAATATGATTTATTCTAGTTCCATCCATTTCCCTACAGATGATATTTTATTCTTTCTAAAAAATGGCCATGTAAAATTCCATTGTATATAAGTACCGCATTTTTTAGATCTGCTCATCCATTGTGGGGCATCTGGGCTATTTCCATATTTTAACTATTGTGAATAGTGCAGCAATGAACATGGATGTGCAGGTGTCTTTATCATCCTGACTCATGATGCTTAGGGTAGATGTCCAGGAGTGGTACAGCTGAGTCATAAGTAAGGTCTACGTTTTTTTGAGGAATCTCCAGACTGCTTTCCATAGTAGTTGTACTAGTTTACATTTCCACTAGCAGTGAAGTAGTGTTCTTTTGTCCCCATATCCCGCCAGCATTTGTTGTTAGAATTCAAAATCTTGGCTAATCTAACTGGAGTAAGATGGTATTTCGGGGTTCTTTTGGTTTGCATTTCCTCTATGGCCAGGGATGATGAGCATTTCTTCATGTGTTTCTTTTACCTCTTTTTTTTTTTTTTTGAGAGGGTGGGGGTTGGTCATGGGGATTGAACTCTAGGTGCTGTCCCTGAGCTCTTCAGCTCAAGGCTAGCGCTCTACCACTTGAACCACAGTACCACTTCTGGTTTTCTGGTGATTTATTGGAGATAAGAGTCTCATGGACTTTCCTGCCCAGGCTGGTTTTGAACTGCAATCCTCAGCTCTCAGCCTCCTGAGGAGCTAGGATTACAGACATGAGCCACTGGGGCCCAGTTCCTCATGTGTTTGCCATTTGTACCACTTCTTCGGAGAAATCTCTATTTAGCTCCCTTGCTCATTTAGTAATATGTTTATTAGGTTTGGGAGGGGTTACCTTCTTGAGCTCCTCATATATATTGGCTATTAGGCTTATGTCTGATATATTGCTGGTAGAGATATTTTCCCAATTTGTTGGCTGTCTTTCTAGCTTAGTAACCATGTCCTTAGCTGTGCAGAAACTTTTCTATTTATTTATTCATTTATGTCAATCATGGGGCCTGAACTCTGGGCCTGGGTGCTGTCCCTCAGCTCTTTAGTCAAGGTTAGCACTCTACCACTTGAGCCACAGCCTCACTTCCTGCTTTTCCTGCTTATGTGGTGCTGAGGAGTCAAACCCAGGGCCTCATACATGCAAGGCAAGCACTGTACCACTGAGCCACCTTTCCAGCCCAGAAAGTTTTTATTTTAATGTAGTTCCACTTGTTGAGTCTCTCTTATTTGTTATGATCCTGGGACTCTTATTCAGGAAGTTTCTGCCTATACCTATAAGTTCTAATTCTCTCTTGCAGTAGTTTCAGAGTTTCAAGTCTGACATTGAGGTCTGAATTGATGTTGGTGTATGGTGACAAGCAGGGATCCACTTTTAGTTTTCTGCATGTGGCTGCCCTGTTTTCCCAACAGCAATTGTTGAAAAGGCTATGTTTTTTCCATGTATGACTTTGGCTCCTTTGTTGAATATCAGATGATTGTGGTTTTATTTCTGAGTCTTTTAATCTGCTCCATTGGTTTTTGGGTCTATGTTTTTTGTTTTTTTTTGGGGGGTGGGCGGTCGTGGGGCCTGAACTCTGGGCCTGGGCACTGTCCCTCAGCTCTTCAGCTCAAGGCTAGAACTCTACCACTTGAGCCAAAGCACCACTTCTGGCTTTTTTCTTTTTGCTTATGTGGTGCTGAGGAATTGAACTCAGGGCCTCAGGCATGCAAGGCAAGTGCTTTACCACTGAGCCACCTTCCCAGCCCCATGGGTCTATGTTTGTGTCAATACCAAAATGTTTTTCTTATTATGGCTCTGTAGCAGAGTTTGAAATCTGGTATTGTGATACTTACTGCATTGTTTATTTTGCCTGGAATTGATTTGGCTATTCTAGGTCTTTGGTTGTTCCATATGTTTTTTGTTTTTTTTTGTCGGTCGTGGGGCTTGAACTCTGGGCCTGGGCGCTGTCCCTCAGCTCTTCAGCTCAAGGCGAGTGCTCTACCACTTGAGCTACAGCGCCACTTCCGGTTTTCTGGTGGTTTATTGGAGATAGGAGTCTCACGGTCTCTCCTGCCCGGGCTGGCTTTGAACCTCGATCCTCAGATCTCAGCCTCCTGAGTAGCTAGGATTACAGGCGTGAGCCACCAGCGCCCGGCTCCATATAGTTTTTTAAAAAATCGTTTTCTCTATCTGAGTAAAGAATGTCATTAGGATTTTGATGGGGATTGTATTGAATTTGTATATTTGTTTTTGGCAGTATGGTTATTTTTCACAGTATTGATTCTACCTATCTATGAACATGAAAGATCTTTCTATTTCCTGGTATGCTCTTTGATTTCTTTCTTAGATTTTTATAGTTTTTGCTATAAAGATCTTTTACATCTTTGGTTAGGTTGATTCCTAGGTATTTTTCTTTGTTGAGGTTATTGCAAATGGAGTTGTTTTCATAATTTCCCTTTCTCCTTGTTCATTGTTGGCATACAGAAGGGCTACTGATTTGTTGGTTAATTTTGTATCTTGTTACTTTGCTGAAGTAGTTGATTAGCTCTAGGAGTTTGGGGGTATAGCATTTAGGTCCTTTATGTATTAGATCATGTCATCTACAAATAGTTAATTTCTTCTTTCCCTATGTGAATCCCTTTAATATCCTTTTCTTGCCTTAGTGCTCTGTCTAGGAATTGCAGAACTATACTGGAGAGGAGTGGAAAGTGTGGGCATCCTTACCTTGTTCCTGGTTTTAAGGGAAATGATTTTAGTTTTTCCTCATTTAGTATGTTGATTGGTCTGCCATACTAAAAACATTTATTGTTTTAAGGAATGTTCCTTCTATTCCTAGTTTCTCCAAAGCTTTTAACATGAATGGATGTTGTATTTTGTCAAAGACTTTTTCTGCATCAATTGAGATGATCATGTGGTTCTTGTCCTTGGCTCTGTTGACTTGGTTCCATTTATTAATTTGTGTATGTTAAACCAGCCTTGCATCTGTGGGATGAAGCCTACTTGGTAATAATGTATGATTTTGTATTTGTTTCTGAATTCTGTTGGCTAATTTTTGTTGTTGTTGTTCATAGAGCTTGAACTCTGGGCTTGGGTGCTGTCCCTGCGCTCTTTAGCTCAAGGCGAGCACTCTATCACTTGAGCCACAGTGCCACTTATGGTTTTCTATTGCTTTATTGGAGATAAGAGTCTCATGGACTTTCCTGCCCGGGCTGGCTTTGAACTGCGATCCTCAGATCTCAGCCTCCTGAGTAGCTAGGATTACAGGCGTGAGCCATGGGCGCCTGGCTTGGCTAATTTTTTATTGAGGGGCTTTGCATCTGTGTTCATCAGAGAAATTGGTCTATAGTTCTCTTTTTTTTTGTTGTTGTTGGATATTGGCTTCATAGGATGAGTTTGGATTGTACCCTCTGCTTGGGGAGAATTGGTATTAGTTCATCTTTAAAAGTATTACAGAATTCAGTGGTGAATCCATCTGGGCCTGGGATTTTCCTTGTTGGAACACTTCTAATTACTT